AATCCTAGTGAACAACTGCCTCCTTCATTCGTCATATATATACATACACATACATTCTTATATTATTAGATAATTATTACACAAATTATTGTTTAATACACATCTAATTATCTAATTAGTAGCGGATTATATGTCAATTATTTGGATAATAAAATTTCATACGGCCTGCACCTTGTTAACTTATAGGATGTCATCCTATTTGTTTCTTTGTCTGTAGGAGCTTGGACAAAGTAGATGATGAACCAAATACTTAGCTTCATCTTATGAATTTAGTTGATATGTAGCTAATTAGCAATTAATTAAAAATGTTTGGGTCCAAATTATTGAGCTACTAATGCAGTATTAGCTTAACCGTCCTTATTTTTCCTCATTTATTTATTTATTTGTTGTTGATTGGAAAGGCAAAGGAAAACCATAACATAACAACAGAAAGACAAAAATACTAGAAGAAGAAAGAAAATGATTGAACTACATACGAAGTATTATTATTAATAGTGATACAAAGTTATATTCCTTGATCAAATCAATAGTTGGTCAATACTATCTACATTTATAATGACATATACAAATAATTAAACCATTTTATGGAAGAATGTATAATAAATAAATGAAACAACAATTTGAAAGAGTATATACAGAAGTGTCAGGCCTCTCCTCTATTGAGCCCTGAGACACACTCGTAATAAGTCGTAACCACACGAGAGTACGCTTTGCAAAGTGTTTTTTTTTTTTTTAATTTTTTTTTTTAATTTTTTTTATTTTTAATATTATGAAAAATATATAAAAATACAAAAATAAGAAGAAAAATTAATTTTGACATTTAAAAAAAAAAATACAACCAATAAAAAATTAATACAATGATTGTTAATTTAAGAACGACTAACATAAAATTTTCATGCAATTTGAGACAAAAAGAGTAATATATACATTTCCGAGGATAACAATATTGTACTCTAGCTCTGTTGTGATTTTGCCATGTAGGAATTTCAGATATAATAATTTGCAAGTGGAAAATGTTAATACCAATTCTTCATTAGTTAGAACATTGGTTTCACTATAATTTTGGAAAGTTTAATTGGATTACATACTTTAAATTTTTGAGAAATAATTTAACGACAAAACTACGGGCAGAAGAACTTTTTCTTAAGCAACTAGCGTGTATATCCAAATGCCACATGGTAACGAAAGTAAGCACTATTTTTACACGGGATTTCATATTGCACTTGACTACTTTTTTTTATTTTAGCAACAATTTTTAGACTCAATATTTCTGGATAATTAGCCAGTCAAAGTCAACTATATTTTTTTAGCTATAATTGTATGGGCCATTACTTATCATTAGAAACTTCTATTATATTTACTGGCTTTATTTTAGTTTGTTTTAGACATTATTATTCCTCAAGCTTTTTTGGCTTTAACATTAACATACGCTGATACGCGTATAAATACTATATTTGTCTTATTTGTTGGAGTATTTTTCTCAAATTCCCTAAAATAAGGAGAAAACAAAATATATTAATCAATAAAATTGAATTGAATGAGACTAGGTCATTTGCAAATTTAAGCACAATTACTTCTACATGTAAACAAGAATACATTAATGTTAGTGACTAATATAATATATGTATGTAGATGAATGAAGCATTGAAGCTCAATAGCTGGCAATGGCGAAGCTAGATATTATTAAGTGGATTTGAGTATCACATAACTGAAATGTTATGAACGTGTTGTATTAATTTTTGAAAAATGGTTTAATTTTTAATAAGTAGGTTCAATTAATTAATTTGTCATGCGCACAATTAAATAAAGAAAACCTTGTTTTGAATTGGTGGTGAGAATTCTTGCCTTTCACACACCTAGTTAGCAAGAGTTCTCACACACCATCACATTTACATCATCACCTTAGCTATGAGAAAGTATCCTTGTTGCTCCATCATGTACCATACAAATTTTAAAAATGAAAATACTTTATTTAATGACCTTTACATATCAAAAATAGTTACTCTGTTATTAGATGGAAAATAGTAATTTTAATTTATATGTAGAAAAAGAGTTAACTTTAATATTTTATTATATAATTTAAGAAGTCTATCTACATACGGAGTAACAAGTTAGGCAGCTAATAAAACAAACTGCAATTAGTTTTTTCTTCAGAACAAAAAAGAGAAAAAACCTACATAAATAGACTATTCACCCAATAATATTAGTGATATCTAGCTGATAGTCATCACTCGATCTTATTCTATATACCAACCTAGCTTGTTAGTAATAATTTAAATTTCCTTGTTGATTAATTAAACACTTAATCCAGCTTGATCAACAAGAAATTCAAGGGAGTGGGGGAAGAGGAAGGAGGCCAAAGTCAAACCTATAGACGCACAAAGTTTCTCCTTTCACAACTTGTTTGTCTATAAATATTAGCACAATTAGGTGCATTTTTTCAACAACCATATTTCATAACTACTCTAAAAACAAACAAACAAACCAATTACCCAAAATCATATATATCTCACATCAAAATTAGCATCAAATCAACACAAATTCCAAAAAAAACACACAATGAGTTCTAAGAAGATTATTACATGGGACACCATTTTACCTAGTTGCTTTAAACCAAAAAGATCACAATCAAAACCTAAACTCATAACAAGAACTAAAACTATTCCACAAAGAGTAGTACCAAGTTCTCCACAAAGGCTATCCATCTCAGACATTAGCAACCCGAATTCGGAGATCTCGATCAACGATCTTTCGAGCTCGTTGATCGGGTCAAATCTTCAAGTATTCACAGTTGATGAACTCAGGATTATCTCTAACAACTTCTCTTATACCAGCAACTTCATTGGAGAAGGCGGTTTCGGAGCAGTTTATAAAGGGTTTATTGATGATAAGCTTAGACCCGGTTTAAAAGCTCAAACTGTTGCTATTAAGGTCTTGGATTTGGAAGGTTCTCAAGGACATAGAGAGTGGCTGGTAATTTATTTTTACCACCGGAAAAAAAAATCATATTATATATGTCACATTTGTATTTATAACATTTGGCTAATATATAGTTTTGAAAATTAATTTTCAGGCTGAAGTTATATTTCTTGGTCAGTTGAGGCACCCTCATTTGGTAAAATTGATTGGATATTGCTGTGAAAATGAACAAAGAGTTCTTGTTTATGAATATATGGCTAGGGGTAATTTGGACAACCAATTATTCAGAAGTAAGTATATAATATTTTTTAATTTTATATTAAAAAAAAAAATTACTCCAGTAATTCACTAAATTCAAAATTTGTATATTTTTCTAACATTTTGATATGAATGCAGGGTGCTCTGTTGCCTTACCATGGTTGACAAGGATGAAAATCGCGCTCGGGGCTGCTAAAGGCCTTGCATTCCTACATGAAGCTAATAAGCCTGTGATTTTGAGGGATTTCAAGGCTGCAAATATACTCTTAGATTCTGTAAGCTCTCAAATTTCTTTCAACTTTGACTTAGTATGGTATTTTGGTTTATTAAATTACTCGGACTCTTCGTTTAATTTCATTTCACAACTGACACGATCTTTAAAGTCTTTGGTTCATTTTTCTTACTAGTTTTGTTTTTTATGGTATAGAATTTCAAAGCAAAGCTGTCAGATTTTGGGTATGCAAGAGATGGGCCAGAAGGAGATAAAAGCCATGTAACTACTGAACACATTCTTGGCACCAAAGGCTATGTTGCACCAGAATATGTCATGACAGGTAATTAGTAATTTAATATATTTGAATTTACAAATTTTAATTACAATTAACGTTGACGATTAGTGCTAATATTATTAAGTCACATAATACGTTGCAAATATTATGGTTTTTCGTAGCAAGCAAGACATACCTATTCTAACCACTAATAAAATTGTCAATATTCTAACATATTCCATAATATTAAATTTTCAGGTCATTTGACAACGATGAGTGATGTATACAGTTTCGGGGTTGTTCTTCTAGAGTTATTGACCGGAAAAAGATGCATGGACAAGATTCGTCCAAGAAGAGAGCATTGCCTAGTGGAATGGGCTAGGCCACTCCTTAAGAATCCACGAAAACTCGATATAATCATGGACCCTAGGCTTGAGGGTCAATACTCAGTCCAAGGGGCTAAGATAACCACTATGTTAGCCTATCAATGCCTAAGCCACAACCCCAAGTCGCGGCCTACTATGGGTCTAGTGGTTAAGACTTTGGAGCCACTATTGGAGATGAACGACATTCCGAGCCATTTTGTGTACGTTGTACCAAAAGATGGCGAAAAGAAAGAATACGTAAACCAAGTTAAAGAAAGGAAAAGTAGAGATGGAAATAGAGATAGACACAACAATTTACATAGGAGGCTTGTCAATGATACGGATTCCCCTGGTTTCCATAGATGAAGAAATCAAGAATACATCACTTCAATTCGAGCATAATATGTACATACATACATACATATACATATACATACATGCAAACTACAAAGGTGTTAATTTTTTAATTAGTGTGGAGTTTAATTTTGACTAACAGCTTAAATTAAAGAACATAATACTCTTAAGAAAGAAAAATGATGTAAATAGTGAATACTGTATGGTCAAAAAACGGCTTAAGCTTGTATTTTTCAAACTTTTATCAAAGAGAAATATGAAAAATGATGTATAATTTCTATGATTTTATATTTAGATACCTTATATATACATCATGTTATCATGTTGTTACTGCATAGATATTTATTCATACTCAATAACATATAAATAGTATAGATATACATCATATTATCATGTAACATTCATTACTACTCTCTGTCAAATTAATTCACAAAGTTCCAATCTTCTCATTCATCAGTAAATCGATATTTATATGAATACAATCCTTGGGAAATAATTTACCTAACTAAGATAATATTCCCAAGATCTCAAGATATCCTAAGATATAATATGATGTAATTATATACCTAAAATATATTATCTCCTAATAAGATATATTCTATCTTAACATCCCCCCTCAAGATGGAGCATAAAGATCCCGAATGCCCATCTTGCTAAGTAGTGTCTCAAACTGAGCCTTTCCCAAGGCCTTAGTAAAAATGTCTGCAAGTTGTTCCTTCGTAGGAACATAAGATGGCGAAATCAAACCATCTGTAATTGCATCTCTCACTAAATGCATATCAACCTCAATATGTTTCGTTCTTTCATGGAATACCGGGTTTTGTGCAATGTACAAAGCCGACTGACTATCACAAAATAATTTCATACCCTGCGAATGTTGCACACCCAAGTCTCGTAGGACTTGTTTCAACCACTTCAATTCACATGTCACGGCCGCCATTGACCTATACTCCGCCTCCGAAGACGATGTATGTAGAAACCGTAGGTTGCTTCTTAGTTTTCCAGGACACCGGGGAAAAACCAAGTAGCACAAACCAATCAATGACCTCCTAGTTAGAGGACAACTCGCCCAATCAGAGTCACACCACCCCTCTAACCTCAGTGCACTGTCGGATCGAAGAAGAATTCCCTGTCCCGGATTTTTCTTTAAGTAGCGCACCACACGAAGTGCCGCATCCCAATGTTTCTCTTTCGGAGTCCGCATAAACTGAGACAATATATGAACGGAATATACCAATTCCGGTCTAGTCACCGATAAGTAAATTAAACGTCCAACAAGACGTCTATATTTCTCCACATCCTCCAACACTCTGCCTTCCGCAAGAGCTAGTTTATGATTTTGTTCCATAGGAAAATCGGCAGGCTTAGCACCTAACAACCCAGTCTCAGAAATGATATCAGGAGCATATTTTCGTTGACAAATGTAGAACCCTTGATTGCTTCTAGCAACCTCAAGTCCTAAGAAATATGTCAAAGCTCTCAAGTCCTTCATCTTAAAACAGTTTCCCAAGTATGCCTTGAACTGTGACAAGGCAACTTTATCGTTCCCTGCAACAATTAAATCAACATAGATCAAAACATACAACTGTAATTTTCCTTTGGTCAATGTGAACAAAGAATAATCAGAATAATTTTGTTTAAATCCATATTTCTTCAATGTTGTCGTCAATTTGGCAAACCAACATCTAGGAGCTTGCCTGAGGCCATATAGCAATTTCTTCATCCTGCAGACATATTCAGAATTATTTTTGTTAAAACCAGGGGGTATTTTCATATATATATTTCTTCCTGTAAGTCACCATGCAAAAATGCATTATGCACATCAATCTGATGTACTTCCCAGTTTTTCACAACTGCCACTGCCAGAAAAGTTCGAACTGTCGCCATTTAAGCTACTGGTGCAAATGTCTCATTATAATGTAGACCTTCAACTTGGTGGTTACCCAAGATGACTAATCTTGCCTTCAATCTCAGAATTTTACCATGTTCATCACGTTTCTCCGTATACACCCATTTGCTACCAAGAGCTTTCTTGCCCGGCGGAAGCTTCTCAAGAACCCATGTACCTTTCTCTTCTAGAGCCTTGATCTCTGCAGCCATTGCTTCTCTCCACCCTAGATGCTTCATAGCCTCTTTAAAATTTTTAGGCTCATTACCTGCTGTTAAAGCTGCAATGTACTTTTTATGCTTTTCTGAAAAACGTGAGCAATCAACAAAATATGTGAGAGGATAAGGAGTACCTGAGGAGGATGATATAGGTGAAGCATTGCTAGATGAACTGTTTTTCCGTATTGTATGTGTCACAAAATCACGAAATTTAGTTGACGGAATCTTTGTCTGTTTTCCTTTTCCCAAATCCTCAACGCTTCCCTCCTGCTCACGGACCTCTTGTTCACGCACCACAACAGCTCCCTCACCTTGACACACCTGCTGCCGCTGCTGCGTGTGCTCGGCTTGCTGCTGCCTGCCTGCGCCAGCTACTGCTGGCTTCCCAGCTTGCTGATCATAGGCTGCTGGGTCGCTGGCAGGCCTGTCCGCAGGTGGATTGCGGTCTGCCACATCATGCCGCAGCCTAGCTGCGTCCCCTACTGCCTCCCTTGGACACACCTCATGCCCTCCAACGAGCCACTCATCGTCACTAAAATACTCATCCGATAAAGGCACTTGACACTCCCTAGGTGAAGTTGTATTTTTGGGTTCAATGTAGGGAAAAATATTCTCAAAAAATCGTACATCACGGGATACAAATATTTCATTGGTTTCTAAGTCAAGCACTCGCCATCCCTTCTTCCCAAATGGGTATCCCAAAAACACACATTTTCTACTCCGACTAACAAATTTGTCTCCTTTACACCGTTGATTATGAGCATAGCATAGGCAACCCAAAACACGAACATAATCATATGATGGAGGTTTATTAAACAAGATTTCAAATGGGGTTTTATTTTCAAGTAGAGGTGTCGGGGTTCTATTTATTAAATGACAAGCCGATAAAATACATTCTCCCCAAAATTCTAACGGCAAATTCCCTTGAAATCTCAATGCCCGTGCCACATTTAATATATGTTGATGTTTCCTCTCAACTCTCCCATTTTGTTGGGGGGTTCCCACACACGATGTCTCAAATAATATGCCATTTGTGAAAAAATAATCACGCAAGGAATTAAATTCCGTTCCATTATCACTTCTAATAATTTTTATCACTTGACCAAATTGACGTTTAATCATAGCAATAAAATTCAAGAACATCCTTTCAACCTCAGTTTTATTTTTCAATAAATAAATCCACACTTCTCTAGAAAAATCATCAACTATTGTTAAAAAATAATGTGCACCACAAGTAGAGGGAGTTTTATACGAACCCCACAAATCTATATGAACAAGTTCGAATACACGACTTGCCTTATTCTCACTAATAGGAAAGCTACATCTAGATTTTTTAGCACGAGGACACACATTACATGCTTTATTATTATGACTCCTAGGAGAACTACTCACAGTCGGAAGCATCTTCAACACCGTGTCTGAAGGGTGACCCATCCGTTGATGCCACAAATCAAATGTAGACTTGCTATCCACTGCTAAGACCTTCACTTGAGGAACACCACGGAAAAAATACAGTCCATCTACGCGTTCACCCGCACCAATCACCGTCCTCGTTTGCAGGTCCTGTATAACACATATTTTGTTAGTAAATTGCATTGTACAATTAGACTCATCACTCAATTGAGTTACAAATATTAAATTGCAAGTTAATTGAGGAACATAAAGAACATTGTCAAATCTCAATCCCCCCGGCAATATCACCGTTCCCAATGGATCCGCGTTAGCTGAATTTCCATCGGTCAAACCAATGGGACAAGTTTGAACTCTCTTCACATTAATGAGGACAGAAAAATCACATGTGACATGATTTGATGCCCCCGTATCTACAATCCAAGGAATCGAATTTTCCTTACCATGTAATTGTCTAGATTTTGGATTTAAGATATCCAAAATTTGTTGAATTTGGGTAGCATTCACACCCACTAAACCTGATGCATCCTCCGGAGAGACAGACGATTGTTTCCCATTAGACGATCCACTCGCCACTTTGTTTGCACGCACATAATTCTGCTTGGATGCGCCAGACGATGCCGAGCCACTGCTGCCACTGTTACGTGACCCCCGACCATCGCTGCCACGTCCTCCACCTCGGCCACGACCCCTGCCGCCACGGCCTCTCTCACCCCACCACTCGGGGTAGCCAATTAGTTGAAAACAACCTTTCTTATCATGGCCTTGACGATTGCAATGATCACAAAACAGATTACTTGTGTCAACAAACGTCGATTTCGTCTTTGCATCCACCCGAAACGCCACGGTAGATTCCTTGTTTTCCTTGTTCAAACCTCCAGCACGAAGCCTCTCTGTCATCACCACATTTTGGTAAGCAACATCAACCGTCGGAAGAGGTAATTGAGCTAGAAGTTGTGCTCTAATCGGAGCATAATGTTCTTCTAACCCAATTAAAAAATAATGAAGGTAATCCTCCTCCCTAATCTCCTCCACCTGTGCAATTATATTGCACGTACACTTCCCACATGAACACTTGGGAACTCGAATAAACGTGAGGAGCTCTTTCCACACCTTCGACAACCGCCCAAAATAATCAGCCATCGACTCTTGCGAGGCCTACTTGCACTCCCCCAAGGCGTTCTTTAATTGGCACACACGTGTACCACTCACGACACAAAATCGATTCTTCAAATTCGTCCACGATACACTAGCATCATCATAGTCACCAATTGTAGGACGAAGCTTCGCATCAAGAGTGTTAGTAATCCATGATACCAACATCGACTGCACCGCAATCCAATCTTCCAATTTCGTGGCATCCGTAGGCTGTTTGATTGTGCCATCCACGAATCCAAACTTTCGTTTAGCCATCAAGGACCTTCTGATTTCTTGTGCCCACTCATCGTAATTTCCGCCACGCAATTGAATAGGCGTGATTACACTACCTGGGTTATCACTCGACCCAAGATAATGAGTTAAATCAACTGGTATTTTCTCACTCATTACTCACGTTTAGGAGGAAAAAAAAATTTAGGAATTGAACCTTGGCTGTGATACCATGTCAAATTAATTCACAAAGTTCCAATCTTCTCATTCATCAGTAAATCGATATTTATATGAATACAATCCTTGGGAAATAATTTACCTAACTAAGATAATATTCCCAAGATCTCAAGATATCCTAAGATATAATATGATATAATTGTATACCTAAAATATATTATCTCCTAATAAGATATATTCTATCTTAACACTCTCTTATTTTAGTCTCTTGTAAGGATATGTTAATGTTATACTCAAAACTTGAAAAGTGCTTGACAACAATATCTATCAACAATAATTATATGTGATGGTGGAGTTTGGGTTAAATGTGTTAATTGACAACCACTTCCATTTATGTACAAGCAAATTAAAGAATATATGATGATATTGGACAGTTATGTGGATTACTGCTCCGTCCTAAATGAAAGTAATCATCACTAAAATTTTAGTGATGACTAGTTATTATGTTCTTGGGAAAAGTAATAAGTCAGTTAATCTTTTTACATCAATAAAATTATGCACTAATTAAGCTAACATGCCACTTTCTTTACAACATTAGTTGTGGATTTGTATCATTACACCCTTTACCTTTATTTTGTTGCTTGCCATATGGTTCACTAATTAGTGCTAATGGTGTGAAACACATTTAGAGAGTGTAATTTACTTAGAGTACTGCTATTGTATGTCATCTATCATTTAACCATACAATACGAGTATTGATTACTCAGTTACTTTCTCTGTTCATTTTTACATGAGTATTTAGTCATATTTAAAATGGGCTTATATGTAATTTTTTTAATTTTAAAAATATTGTACTCGTAATCTCGTATTGTTTAGTGCTCAAGAAAATCCAAAATTAGATTTTATCCACTTTGGAAATGAAGTGTTGATATTGAATACTAGTAGTATATTATTCTCCGTGATTTTATAAGGTTACAAAGACAATCACTTAACTAGCATCAAAATTTTAATTAAATTTTGGTTGTGTCCGATTTCCACCTATTCCTAATACATAATCATTTGGACTTTAAATTTTCTTTATAAATTTACTTAATTAATTTTGGGAAATTTTTTTTTAAAAAAAAAATTATATTTATATTTTATTTATTTATTTATTATGAGTAGAATAGAAAATACTAGAGGTCGAGATTCTATCCTGATTTTTAGACATTTCAAATTTTGGTTAAATAAGGAAGGTTGGTGATTCAACCTTTTAGATTCTTCATTTCTATCAATCGAGAAATAGAGTCATACTTCTCTCTTGGAGTAGTTTCTACTAGTCAATCCCCGATCCTTCAAGTAAGTGACCCTAATTTTTGTCCACCATTAGTAACAAATTAATCTTACCTAGTCTTAAAGTTCATCTTAATTATAGAAATTCACCAAACTCACTTAATTAACCTATGCTACAAAACTTGATTGAATCTTATTTTCTTCCAAAATGTCATAATGATTAGTCAACACTTATATTTTTTAGTCATAATTACAACCTTCAAATCAATTAGGTGCTCTAATTCACAGAATTATTTCATTCATAATCCACAATATCATCAACTAGAGATATATATTTTCTCCAAATAAATAGTACTATTAAGATAGTAATTAAAGAATTTGTTATACTAATTCAGTTGCATTAATTAGCAAACCGGCCAAATACAGTTAATTTATGAACTAATTAACGAAGAATTATATGATTAAAGAACGGGTACATTATCACGTACATGTCATGAGCATTAGGAATTGATGTACCAACTAACATGTCCCTTAATTCTCTGACTTTTTGCCCA